CCCCCAGCCCCGCGAGCGCCCCCAGCGGCGCAGGCAGGGAGGCTGCCACGCAGCAGGGAGGCTGGTACAATAGCAGAACTCCCAACTGTTCACGGGCACCCAACCTGAAAAACAGTGTCTCACAGCCAGAAACTTGTGGAGCAATGTTCCCGAAGGCCACTAGAGATTCCCGGATCATAACAGCCACCCCTCCTCCCTGCCCTGGCCTCTCGGCTGGTGCCACACCGAGAACCCAGCTGGGCACATTTCCGAGAGGGGCACCCCCTGCTCGGGCCCCAGCCAGGTCTCAGAAATGCATGCCAGGTCTGCCCCCTCCTCTGTGATCAAGTCACGTATGAGGGGGGCCTTGTTGTTAACTGACCTGGCATTAAGCAGCAGCAGCCAAAAATGGGGAATGCAGCCCTCCATATATTGCTAAACTGTAATTTGTAAACTGTAAACAGCTGTTAGCTCCAGCCAAGTATTTTATAAGGCAGTTTCTGGTACACAAATCCATATGCCAGAAATCAGGAACTTGTGAACCTTCAGATGTTGCTGAAGTATAATCCTCAGGATCTCCAAGCCTTGGCTGCAGTTACCATGAATTACAGCTTGGCAACATCTAAAGGTATCAGGGTATGTAATAGTTCCCAATATTTATTACTTGTTCACTAATCTACAGATGTACTTTCTAAAATATGATGTGTGACATTAAAACTGAAAATCAGTACTTTTGTAGCAACATATATGATGTTGAAGTTATTCTTGTCCATAAGGTACCTTTTTATTTCCTTTCTAAGACATGGCTATGAAAGGCCCACCCCTATCCAAGCCCAAGCTATACCTGCAATTATGAGTGGACGTGATTTAATCGGCATTGCTAAAACAGGAAGTGGAAAGACTATTGCATTTCTGCTGCCCATGTTCAGACACATCATGGATCAGAGATCATTAGAAGAAGGAGAAGGTCCAATTGGTATGGATGTTGTTGTTGTTAATCCAATCACTCTTGCAAAGAAACAGAGTTATGTAAAGAACAAGATTCAGAAATGTTTATGCACTCCTAAAATGCTCCAAAAGAAAACAAAATATAATCATAAAACAGCTTTTGAAACAATACAGAGCACAAATTAACTAAAAATAAAAACAGATTTAACTTCACACTGGAAAAAACTTCATCCTGAAAAAAAATCAGTGGTGTTCTCGCTTTAGTGGAAAGTGAGTTCTGTAAAGTATAACAAAAGATGGTCTTTTCTCTTGTCACTACATAATGCATGAGTCTGAAGAGAATCTCTTCAGCTGATCTGAAGACATGAATAGATTGGAATAGAGAAAAATATTATTTCAGATACTTCAGATAACTATCACAGTGAATTGTGCCCTAAAACATAAGTAGTTGGCATACCTCACTAAAATTGTTTTAATGTAATCTCATCTGGATTTTCTTCTTACTGATTTAGTAGCCATATTCTGTATACTCAACTGTTTGGATCATCTTCAAGGCAGCTCCATGTTCAGTGCATTATATTAATCTAATTTGAAATCCAGCACTGAACTCCAAGAATGGAATGATAGTGATATTTATTTTGATATTGTGATTATTCAGTGTGCAAATTAATTTTCAATGGCTCAAAGTTGAATTGGAAATGAAGTATGAGAGAACTATTGCAAGCTTATTTCTGAGAAAATAAAAGAATATATAAGAACTACTGGAACAAAGACATATATGAATTTGTTCAAATGATACATTCATCTATTTTATATTGAAGCTCATGTGTGATAGGAACATTTTTCTTGAAATGAGCTTTCTCAAGTTTACCTTTTTAAAGTACTGCTAAACTATATAAAAATACTATTTATCTGTAAAATACTACATTACTGGTAGTAAATTACTTCTAAGAGAAGCATATCATATAAATCAGATTTCTTTTCTTGTAGGAAGAATCTTTATCATCCTAGGCAACATTGAGTTAGAAATCAGTTTTATTGAAATTGTTGGTGTGTACATGATGAGGACTTTTTGATTAAAACTTTTATTTTTTTTCCAGCTGTCATTATGACACCTACTCGAGAACTAGCTTTACAGATAACAAAGGAGTGTAAGAAATTCTCAAAGACCCTTGGGGTTAGAGTCGTGTGTGTATATGGAGGAACAGGAATAAGTGAACAGGTGTGTTATGAAACTTACCTCATGTTCCTAGGATCTAGGATTGCCAGAACGTTGGATTCAGTCTCCAAAAAGTGCTTTGGAGCATGCAGTATGAATGTAGCACCTATCTGCAATGCTTTAAGCAGCCATACCTTTTCCAGGAATGTGCAGAAAGGCAGTCAGATGAACCTAGGAAAAGAAGGTGATGAAGACACGCTAAAGCAACTTTTGGAGATTGAATCTGAAATACTGCAGAGCTGTTAATAGAATCATGAATTGTATTGCCGCTGATGTGATAAAGAATTCTTTCCTTTTTAGCAATCATGTTTGGCAGTTTCTTCATAACTTAACTATTAAGTTTTGTGTACTTGAAAGTACTGGATTAGATACAAGAAGTAACTCAACTCATGCAGTGAATTTTGCTGATTGCCCTGTTGCATCTACCATACTTAGTCAAGCTGTTTCTGATGGTTAAGAGACATAGGAAGGTACAGATAGATAGATAGTCTTTATTATCAGAAAAAACATTTCATTTTTTTCTCTAGAAGCAAAGATTTTATTTTATTTGTGCAGTGTTTTGGATCTGATTCCAAAAAGATGCTTTAGTATTGTAAATATTACAAATATTATGCTTCTCTGCACTCTTTAACTGATTCTGGGAACAGACCCTGCTGCTTTGCAGACAGGTGCTATGTTTTCATTGCAAAGCACTATTTTCAAACTGAATCTAAAAGTCTGCACAGTTTTACTTTGTACATTCACAAGAGCTGGAAAGCATATACAGTTTTTTTTATTAAACTTTCCATAGAGAAGGAATATCCACTCATGTACTTCTTTACATTAAAGAGTATAGTGGGTTTGAATTAGTCAATTGTCCGATAGATGCTATAAAACCTGAAGTGAAGTTTTGTCAATCTAAGGTTCACATTCCCTAGTGACTGATTTTCTGGTAACAGAATAATATTGTAGACAGGTCTACATATCCGCAACAATTGCATTTTAAAAGTAATCCCATTGAATCAATGGGATGGCAGTGTGTAGAAAGTAGAAAATTCATTCTTTCCTCTCTAGCTGCTTTTACCCATTTTTTTCACAGGCAATTCATTTTTTCTGAATTGTCTGTTTAGGAAGAGGGTAGAATGAGGGAAGATGGACAGGCATTACCTAAGATGTAGGCTTAGGTAGAGGGGCCCTGTGGATGTGCTATAGCTGTATATTTCTCTGACATGTTGTATCATTTAATAATTGAGAACAGAGGGAATCATATCTTAAACCATACATCAGTAATACAGATAGTTTAAGTGTTACTTGTTATAAATGTTACACATTAAAATAGTTTCTTCTACTTATTTTATAATCAGATTGCTGAACTGAAAAGGGGTGCGGAAATAATAGTTTGCACACCTGGCCGTATGATTGATATGTTAGCAGCTAATAATGGTAAGAAAATACTTTTTCTTCATTAAGAAATTATGAAAAGTTGTTCCCCCCTACCCCTCAGTAATGAAATTCATAGATCTGTTGAAGCTGTGATATCTAATATAGAATGCAGTCTTAAAAATGACTCTCTTCAGCACCTTTCATTATAGGTTTCAAAAGTATTTGATGAATGGAGACCCTTGAAGCATTTCTTAAAATAAATATATTCATTTTCATATACCTCAACTTCAGAACTGACTTTCTAAAGAGAACTGTTAGATGTGTATCATTTATGCTGAAATCACATTCCCTGTCTAATGTTTGTTCACATTGATTGTTCACTTTTTGTCCAGAAAGAAGTTTACATCTCTAAATTGGGGTACATAACATATAACACTTTGAGTAAAAAAAGGATTTTTTCCTCAAAATCTTTTGATAATGCATAAACTAAACTGAGATATTGCAGCTTTAAAGTACATTTTACTGCAACATTACATACTTATTGTATAATATTTGATTGTTTGTTTATATATTTTACTGTAAAAACTCTTACTAAACTGTTGACATTTGACTTCTGTGGAAAAAGTTTCTTCAAGAGTTATAGAACTGGGCTTCCAAAGACTAAGCCATCAAAGGTAGGTGCAGCAATCCTGTTCCAAAATAATGTACACTTGTAAGAGTCAAATAAAGAAGTGTTGCAAAGTTCTTACTTTGGTTATTAGGAATAACGTGCTACATAATGTGTTTAGAGGTGAAGAAAGAAAAATATGGATCTTATGTTTACTTTGAATTAGCTACTTTTAAACCACATTAAAATAGCATTTCCTCCTTCAGATTTTTAAAAAGAACTATCCACTTGCTTGAAGATGCTGCAGTCAGGTCTAACTCAATCCAGCTTCCAACCGATAAGCATCAGTAGCTGAGGTGAAATTCAGACCTCCTGTATATATTTACTAAGAGAACTGGAAGTGACATGGTTTGGGGATCTCTGCAGATTTTTTAAAAGTGGTTTTATTGTGTTTACTACATTCATTTTGGTATCATTTTAGTGAAGAAATGTGGATAACAGTTTGTATAAATAAAGTAATAGAAAGCAGGCTGTTGTGGATTGTAACTTCTTTTTTGTGTTAGTGAGAAATGTCTGTGCTTTCTTGGGCTAGAGTATATTCTTGAAGTTCCTATAAGGTGTCAGCTCTCTTCATATGCATTGGTAGTTGAGAAGGATTTTCTGTACTCTCTCTAGTTCCATTAAGTATTAGAGCAATAGAAACCAACAGTAGAGGCACCAGAGAAGTCTCTTAATTCTAAGGGTTCATGGCTTCTCAGGTCAAATCCTGAAACTGCTTTCGACTATTAAAAAAAAATCATGGAATTCCAAAAGAAAAGCATACAGATATGTAAAATATGTCTGTATGTTCTCTCTTTCTTCTCGCCATATAAACCAACAGAGAAAATAGAAGGTACAGTAACTAGTGATGGAAAATCAGTGATGTATGCACAGTATATGCATGAAATTACCTTCTGTTTGCTCATTGTGTTTTTTGGATACAAGATCTAGTGTAGAATTGCTGATTCTCAAACACACTTTTAATTAAGTGAAGTTTAAGTACACTTTGTATCAGCACTTTTGAAAATCTCTAGTTTAAATTTTTTTTTAAATCTTTTAGGTTTAAATCATCACACAAGGCAAAGATACCCTTTGCATAGGTCTGTTTGTCACAATGAGTGGGATAGCTGTTCTTGAGTTCATTAATTGTAAGCTATATCTGTAGATGAGGAAAAAAAATGTGCTGTTCTGTTTATATTAGTAAGATGGTATTTTCTGTGAATAGATTTGTGAACCAGTATGAGACTTTCTGCTTAGGAAATTGGAGATAAAGCTCTCCATGACTTCAGTGTGGTTAAATTTTCAGTCATAAATATTTCCAATAATGACATTAAGGTTTTTGTAAGGTTTCTTCAGTTATCACTTGAATTTTGCTTTCCACACATGCGCTGTAATCTCTAATATGTTTTTTTCTAGGTGGCGCTCACAGATAATGGCTGATGTGGCTCGTTGCTTCACCTTAGTCTTAGTTTTATGATGTGTTTTGGTGAGGGCTGTTTTCTGAATTTTGCAGGTTCTTCTGACCCTGTACTGGTATACAAGAGAAGAAATTGACAAAATAATGGGCCTTGTGCATCAGTACACAATTGCCAAAATGTTTGCCACCATAAGAGATAAGGCATTTAGTGAATTGTTTTTCTAAAATAAATAAATATTTAAATCGTTGTTTAGATTCTAGTCAGAATGTGTACCATTTTATTTACATATGTTATGAAGAAAAATAGCTTTTTGATTTATTCTTGTTTCCTTTTGTTTTTTTTTCTCTCCTTTCTGTAGGTCGGGTAACAAATCTTCGGAGAGTGACATACGTTGTCCTTGATGAAGCAGATAGAATGTTTGACATGGGCTTTGAACCTCAGGTAAACAGAGGGATGACTGGTTATCAGATTTCCTGACTAAAGCTGAAATAGTATGTTTCATGTTCTGCTCTATGATGGCACTGCTGTTGATTAGCAGAAAGTTATTTTTGTCTAGTAAATGTTTAATCTGTGATATGGGTACCAAAATGGCAGAGCACTGAAGAATCCAAAGTACTGCCTAATAACCTACTTCTTACTATATTGCTGCCTATTATCCAATTCATTAAATTAGGCACAAAGTTATACAAAGCCAGTAAAAAGAATGGAGTTTTGAATATCTTAGTAGTAGATAAATTGCCTGCCACTGGTCTAGACACTGAACATTGTAGAAGAACTTCACTCCTCCAGAAAATAAGAGGTAGCTGATTTGGAAAACCCACCTGTTAACCCACCTTTTTGTTCATAATAGGTTATGCGCATTGTAGACAATGTGAGACCTGATCGTCAGACTGTGATGTTTTCTGCTACTTTCCCTAGAGCCATGGAGGCTTTAGCTCGCCGTATTCTAAGCAAACCAATCGAGGTCCAAGTTGGTGGCAGGAGTGTTGTCTGTTCAGATGTTGAACAGAGAGTGGTAAGTTGTAGAAGTATATCCTTTGTATTCCATGTCTTAATGATAGTCTTCATAGGATAGCATTAGAACTAAGTTACATATCCAAGATAGCTTCACCTGTAAATATTTTGCAGACATTGACCTCTGAAATGTATTAATTATATAAAGTAGAGAGTAATTCATATGTTTATTTGTGTGTCTCTGAGGCAGCTGATCAAAGGACTACAGTGATAAAATTTCTTTTCCTGTGGTCCAGAATGATTCTGCTTGTATACAATTTTTATTCAAAAGTTCATCCAATAATCGGCTGTGCTAAGAAGTTCATACAGTTGTCAGAGGAATCCATTTGCTACTATGAAGGAATATATTCAGATTGGACTGGTACTTTTCTATCACAAAGTACCAGTTTCAAAGTAGACTGTGGCATTATTAAAGAAAAAGTTGAATCCAAGGCTGGTTCTCTAAATATCATCTATAGCAATTATTTATCAGCTTAAAGTTAGAAGCCAGACTTCATATATTATGTTATTTGTTCTGGAATACAGTTTAAAGCTTGCTTTTTTCACCAGTGGCTCATTGTGCTGCATAATAAACTGCTTTAGCAATTAGAGATAATTTCAGAAATTATTTCAAATATGCCATGGATGGGATTGGCAAGCCAAAATAAAGATTCAGCAGTTCCATGGGCTAATACATTTGCCCAGGGTGTTGGGTGGGGGTTGGTTGAATAATCAAATTATTGTAAGTGTGAGTTATTTATATGGCCTTGTTTTAATATATTCTGTAGTTATAGTTTTAATTTGGGTTATAGTTAATGTAGATATTATTGTACAATTTTGACATATTGTGAGCTGCCCAGAGTTCCATGAGTGACGTGGGCAGC